TTTTCCCTGCTGTGCCGCCAGGATTAAACCCAAACTGCTGATCTGCATTTTGGGGAGGCACTGCGACACTTGCTCCCAGCTGGAAAAACCAACCCCAATGTGTTTAAAATTCCACAGGAAATGGGATTTCCCTGGCTCTTCCTATTTTTGGACGCTCTGCTCTGGTTTTCAAGATTTCTATTTCCCGAGCCGCTATCCCGGATTATCAACCCCAGGATGGAATTTACCACAAAGCCCCTCTCCAGCTCTCTGTAACAAAAGTGAACAACCCAGACCCTCCTCACAGAAAAAGGTGCAATTGTGACAGGACACAGCCTCAGGAGGAATTTGGAGGTGTCCAAGGAAGGCCTGGAGAGGCGCTCAGGGCTGGGCTCTGTGACCCCAAACTCGCTGATGGCACGAGGAAGAGGAGGAGGAACCCCCGAGGAAGGGCTGGGGGACACCTGGGCACGAGGTAATCCCCCACAACCAGCCCCTCTCCTTCCTTTGTGTCCCTCAGCTGTTGCCGTGCACACTGAGCCATTCCAGCAGGAAATTGCATTTGCATCTTGTGTGGCACAAGCATGTTGTGAATATCATAAAAACACATATGGTCATAAAGGCTGGGAGAGAAGGCGATAAAAGTGACATTTAGGGAACAGCTTTGGGAAAGGCAAAACATGTTCAGGGAGCTGCTTTTGTGCAGCTCCTCCCTGCGAAAGATTCTGGGCTCTCACTTGAGAGGCTTTTGCAGCAAACTTCTTAATTTTGTGACAAACTTCTTAATTTTCTGTGCAAGCTTCTTTTTTTTTTTTTTCAATCTTCCTTAATTTCTTGGTGCAAACTTCCTTAATTTCATTCCACAAATTAATTTTTTGTTCAAGCTTCTTACTTATTTTTTCCCAAACTCCCTAGTTTTTTGGGTTTTTTTTTTTTTTCCCTAATTATTTTTGTCCAATGTATTAAGATACTCATTTCAAACTTGAGAAATTTTGCTTTTTGAGCTTGGGATATCCTGGAAGAAACTCAGGAGCCCAGCAGCCTTTCCCACGTGTGGGACAGATTCCGTGGCGGGTTTAAGTGCAACTCTTGAATTTTGACTTGCTTGGGCTATCGGATGGAACAATATTTTGGGATTTGCAATGGCATTTCATCACTTGGACTTTGATCAGGAGGTTCATTGGACGGCTTGGATGGGAATATCCCTGAATTCAGCCTGGAATTGTGGACAGCAGAACTCTATGGACGTCGTGAAATATTAACTTTCAACAAGGAAAAAATAAATAACCGGGAAAGGAAATTTTCCTGACGGGTCAGAGCTCCTGGATGGAAAAGCAGGGAGTCTTTCCCACCAATAAAACTCACATAAAACTATTCCCAATTTTCTCGCTGCGTGGGTCAGGGTTAAGAGCTCCTGTCGGGCCAGCCGGGGATCATCCAGAGCTGCCAGCAGCGTGGCTCAGCACGGGCAGCCCCATCCCCATCCCCTGGAGCTGCTTTTCCGACCCTCCTGGTCCGTGTGCTCCCAGCAGGGAATTCATTCCAATTTTCCAGGGCTGTAAACTGCAAGCCTTTTATCTGGAGCCTTTAGCAGGCTCTGTGACAGCAGATCCGACGGGAGGGAGCGTGCTATGCCATAAATCCTCCCAAAATGTTCCTTTGCTCACAAATGATGGGGCTGATTCATGCTCCAAAGGCGGATCTCCAGCTCCTGCCAAGTCACCATGGCTGCCTTCTGCTTGGAAGGAGCGGGAGAAGTGTCTACCCTGCATCACAGGGGAGGAGGAGGAGGAGGAGGAGGAGGAAGCTCCAGATCTGCTTTTCCAGAGCATTTCACTTCCATGCGTGGACTCTGCTTCCAGGGGCGCCTGGATTTCGTTCTGCTCCGTGCCAAGTGTTGTGCAAACCGGGAACGGGCACCCCCGGGATTCCTGCTGGGCTCCCAGGGGGTGGCCAGGACCCCGGGACACAGAGCCCTTCCCGGCGCTGGACAGGGGCTCGGTTCCCTTCCGTGTCACCGGAGTCACTGCAAGGTCACCGGCACTGCCCATCCCGCCGGGAATTACCGGGACAAGGTGAATCCCTGCGTTTCTCCGGGCTGCAGCCAGGATGCCATTCCCTCCCCCCCGGGAAAGAGGGGGAGCCCGCAGGGTTTGGGAATTCACAGCCTGACAAAGTTGTGACTTTGCAGAAGCACGAGGGAAGAGGGGGAAGCAGCTCCCTCCCAGCTCCAGCCGCCTTTTCCCGGCAGCTCCCATCCCGGTGAAATTCTTCCCCCTAGTTTCCACTCATGGAATAGTTGTTATTTCAGCCTGAGCTGCTGCACGGCGCCGGAGGAGCCGGGAAAGGAGCCGGAGGAGAGGAGGAGGAAGGCTGCAGGATGGGGCAGAGATGCCGCAGATGTCCCGGCAGCTACGTGCATCCCTCCACCGCTCCGGGCTTCACTTCCCAGCCAATCAATGGAAGCAATTGTTGCTTCTCCAGAAAGAGAAGCACCACCACCGAGCTCCTGCTTCTCCAGCCACGCTGGAGCGGCAGGAAGAGCGGCAGCGGCGGCCCGGAGCTGGGCAAACGCAAGATTTGCCAAGTGGGAAGTGCCCGGGGCAGAGCTGCGGCCCTTCCAGCACCGGGGCAGGAGCGGAGAGTGCCCAGAGCCCCTCGGAGCCCACAGATGGATGGAGGATGGATGGATGGATGGATGGATGGATGATGGATGGATGGATGGATGGATGGATGAATGGAGGGATGGATGGATGGATGGATGGATGGATGGATGATGGATGGATGGATGGATGGATGATGGATGATGGATGGATGGATGGATGGATGGATGATGGATGATGGATGGATGGAGGGATGGATGGATGGATGGATGATGGATGGATGGATGGAGGGATGGATGGATGGATGGATGATGGATGGATGATGGATGGATGGATGGATGGATGATGGATGGATGGATGGATGGATGAGAGAAACTGCTCCTCCGTGCCTTCACGCAGGTGGCACATTTGTCACCGAGCAGCAGTAATTTTGGGAAGAGTGTACTGCAAAAGGGAAACCTGTCATTCCCAGCATCTCCCTTCCCACTTAATTACAGCTGCAGCTCCCTCCTTCCCCGGTGAAATTAGGGTGCTGCTCCCATTAAAACCAAACACTCCAGAAGCACAGACCACTTCCCCCTTTGCCTCTCAAATTCCAGCAGGCTCCAGCATCAGGAACCACCCAAAAGAGGGGATGATAGAGGAAGTGGAATATTAAATCCCTGTTTTAGCAAATCACCTCCCGAGGAGCTGGGGAGCGGGGTAGGTGTTGTTTGAAAACTAGGGGAGGAAGAGCCAGAGCTGGGGGTGATGCTCCACAGGAAGGAGATGCTTCATTGGAAGGAGAAGCTCCACTGGAAGGAGAAGTTCCTCTGGAAGGAGAAGTTCCTCTGGAAGGAGAAGCTCCACAGGAAGGAGAAGCTCCACTGGAAGGAGAAGCTCCACTGGAAAGAGAAGCTCCCCTGGAAGGAGAACTCCACTGGAAAGAGAAGCTCCACTGGAAGGAGAAGCTCCCCTGGAAGGAGAAGCTCCCCAGGAAGGAGAAGTTCCATTGGAAGAAGCTCCATGGGAAGGAGAAGCTCCACAGGAAGGAGAAGCCCCACTGGAAGAAGAAGCCTCACTGGAAGGAGACACCATCTCGCTATCCACACACCTTGGCTGTGCTGCAGACCAGGAGCTGGCTTGGCTTCCTGTTCCTCTTCCCACCGAGGCAGGAATCCCATGGAATGTGCTCCAACAAACCCTCCAGAGAGCAGGGAATCCAGAGCTGCTGGATCTCATTCACGTCCCACGGGGATTTTGGGCAGGATCCTGGTGGCTGAGGTTCCTCCGAGCCCTTCCCTGACAATCCCAACCACATCCATTTTTAACACAGGCCTTCTGTACTCTCTCTTTTCCAGCTCCAAACGGAGTGAAAGATATTCCTGGCTTAGCAGGATTAAAAAACAAAGTCCAGCCCAAACACCCTGGCAGCGCTCCCCTAAAACTGCACTGCTGGAACCACCCAAAAACCCCGAGCCATCATTTCAGGAGTGCCACAAATGGACTGAGAGGGAAGCGTGGAGAGGCAGATGTGGATGGGCATGGAAGGGCGGGATGACCACGGGCAGGAGGATGGAGATCTGGAACTCCAGAGCTGCTGCTGGGCCCTTTCCACGCTCAGCAGGTTCCCAGTGCCTTTTGCTGCTGCTCAGAAGCAAAAGTCTCTCTCGGTCGCTGTTCCAGGATTGCAAATTGGAATCAGAGAACGGGGAACGGGATGAAAATGAGATGAGGAAAAAAGAGAGAAATGGTGCTTTGGTGCAAGTGTCAGATCTCCTGGGGTGAGAGAATAAATCCAGGCTGCACTCCTGGCTAGGCCGGTGGGGAGGGGAATATCCCCCTTCCCTGGGCAGGGAATCATTAAGGATGGAAAAGATTTCCCCACGGAAAGTGCTCTGGGCTGGGGACAAGCTGGGGAGCAGGCACAGCTTGGACAAGATGGTCCAACCGAAATGACTCCGGGTTTTTGGGATCCTCGTGTCCCACCCTCATCCAAAACACTGTCTTCAGGCAGTTCATGTGATCCTTGGGGAAGATTCCAATGTTTCCTTTGAGGGACTGTGAATTCCTGTTGTGTTTTGTTTGTTTTGCTCTGTTTTTTTCCCTGGTGTCTCAGGAACTTCTCCTGGCCACCTGCACCATTCCCGTGGCCGCTTTGCTGCCAAAACCCTTTGGGTTTTGCAGCCCAGCACGAATCTCCCCACATTTCCTCAGGAGCAGACCCTGGAGCAGCGAGGCTCCAGCCCAGCCCCGTGCCCACAATGCTCTTTCAGAGGTTCATAATGGAGCCATTGAGAACACGTAGTTATTTGGAAAACTCCCGAGCTGGGAGGAATCTGCGCCTCTTGGGGTTGAGTCACGCCTTGGCAGCGGCCGACCCTGCACAGATTTCCTTTTTTTTTTTTTTTAAGTGCACTTTTCTTTTCCAGATCCGGAGACAAGGGACCTTTATCAGCTTGAACTTCATCTCCGCCCCAGAAAAGCTGCACCCGGCCCAGCCCTGCCAGAGGAAACTTCCAGAAGGTCTTCATTTGGGGACTTGGAGCTTCCAGTGGCTGCACTCTCATCCCAGTTGGAACTTTATCCCCAGGCCTGCTTATCTCCAGCCTGAAGTGATTTGGCTGCAGCTTCCCCTGTGGATGTCAGTGCCTTCCTGCCTGCAGGATTAAGGGATCCATTCCAATCTCTCCAATTGGCAGGTGTGTGAAATCCTCTGGTTTCTCCTACCTTTTCCTGTGCTTTCTGCTAAAATAACAGCTTTTCCTTAGGGAATTCTGGCGTTGTAGAACACACCACACATTCCTCAGCCCCACGCTCAGCTCCTGAACAGGCAGAGTGGGATCCTGATGGAGCAGAGGGGGAAAGGCTCCATCCAAAGCACCCTGGCTGCTCCAGCCCTACTCCCCACCGAGGTCAGGCTGCTTCCCACTGGAAAAGCTCCTCTCCTTTCTTTACTGGGAGCTGGGCAATTGGGCTGGTGGCCCCGTGCCTCCTGCAGGTGACAATTGTGACCCGCGAGCTGTCCCGGCTGGGCGAGGGGAGCGCGGGAGCCGCCGGGCCATTGTTGGGGAAGAGCTGACGGGATCGGGCACAGATGGGAGACACGGAGCTGTCAGAACGAGCCGGGATTGGAAAATGTTATAATTGGGATGGTAAACAAGTTCACAAGGACCCTATTGAGGCAAGGCATTGCCATGGTAACCGCCCAGAAAAGTCTGGGAATGAGGAAGGGATCGATCCGTGGGGGCTCTGGGATGTGCTCCAAGCCTTGCCCTGCTGCTCCAGGCTCCCAGCTGGCCTGGGATGGGATCCTCCAGAAGCCGTGGGACGGGGCTGGAAAAGCCCTTTTGGGGTTGGGATCCAGCCCATCCCATCCCCAACCCTTTCCCATGGGGCCCAGTGCTCCGGGGCGCTGTGGGCTTGGGACACCTCCCGGGGCTGTGCTTGGACAGCTGGCACAGGTGCCATTTTGGGACATTCCTCATCCAGGTGGGTCCTTGGCCCCAGGAAATCCTGGGATCTTTCCAGCTGGAGCTGATAGCGCTTCGCTATCACCGTAAGAATGGGCAGTGGGCTGTTTGAAATGCAACCTCTGGAGGCACAAATTCCATAAATGAGATCAGTGGGGGCTGGGAAGTGACCACTTTTCAACACCCCCTCGCTCTGCAGCCCACATCTCCCTGGCCCAGCCTCTCCCAGTTCTAGGGCGAGAAGTTGGGCGTGAGCAAACAAGCAAGCTTAGCAACTTTCTACTCCACAACAGTGTTTTTAAAGCCTGATTTTATTCATCAGCTACTTGTTTTTAATGCTCCGCATTCCAAGATGGATGCAGCAATTTTCCTGACTCCAACAAAACGATAAAATTTGTTTATAGGCCAAAAGAAATGTTAAAGGCCTCGGGCCACTGAAAGCCTCAGAACAAATCTTTTTTAAGTGGCAGGGCCACAGCCCAGGGCAGGGGACACCAGAAGGAGTTGTCTCCCAGGACTTGCACGGCTCATTTGGGAAGAGGCCCTTGAAATCCAGCTGCTTTCTTCTGGAAATCAGTGGGTTTGAAGGGGGAGGTTGGACTTTTCCAGAAGCGGAGGGAACACACGTGGGCACGGTGCTGTTCAGCCAGATTTTCCATCCCTCTCCGAGCTGCACGGCAGCGCTATCCATCATTTTTCCAGGGGCTGCAGTCCCTTCCAATCCCAATGAATTGCTGGGACAGATCTTTAATAATAACCAGCCACCAAGGCATGGGAGATTTCATTTATTCTGGCACAATCCACACATTACCCGACTCGTGCGGGACCATCTGGAGCTCTCTGCGCTGAATTCGGTGGAGTTACTGGGGTGAAACAAGGAGGAATTTTATTCCTCGTGCTCTTCAATTATGCCATGGATTGGATTGTGCAGCAAACTCCAAGAGCTCATCTGGGCACAGCAATCAGCCCCGAGGAGCCGAGCCGGGCTGTGCCAGGAAACGCCGCTGGGAGCCCTTCCCTGGAGACAATCACTGGGGCTGAACGCTGCCCAAAAGCTGGGCGTGGCACCACAGCCCCCAGGCTGTCACCTGCGGGCAGCAAAAGGCTGTGGGGACGTCCTGGATAGAGGGAAAAGTGACATCACATCAATCCCTGATGGATTTGCCACTGTGCCGTCGTTACCTGGGAAATGAAGGAACATGGCCTTGCTCCTTACAGGGAACGGTTTGGGATGGGAGGGATCCTAAAGCTCATCCAGTTCCCACGGGCAGGGACACCTTCCCCTGTCCCAGGCTGTTCCAGACCTTGGCCTGGGACACTTCCAGGGATGGGGAGTTGCCTGTCCAGCCAAGCCACACCCGTATGAACCCTTCCCCAAAATCTCTTTGATAAATAGACTGCGAGGGACCAAAAATGCCCTTTTCAGTCATGGAACACGACATTTCTTATTGCAGAGGGGTGCCAGAGGAATGAAGGCGTTGATTCCGTGTGAACAGGCAGAGTGGGATCCCTGCTCCTGCCTCTCAGAGCCATCAATAACAGAACTGTTCCCATTCCCATTCCATTATGGCTAATAATGACTTATGGATAAAGCCACCACGTCCTGTGCAAAAAGCAGGATCTGGGCTGATTATTAGAGGCTCAAATCAAGAGATTGATGCCCAAAGCCAGCCTAATTAGCGGGAGTCTATTGGAGAGGAAGCTGAGCATGCTGCTCCAGCGCTGCCAAATGAAATTAAGGCCCAATTATTGATAAATGAAGAGTGGTTTGTGCTGGAGCCTGGCCTGGAGTCGAGGAAACGCATCTGTCACTTGGGCTGCCCGGGAGTCACTCATGTGTGACACGGCATCCTGTGCGTTCCCTGCGCCGCAGCTGGAGGCTCCGTGTGACTGGAGCTGCTGCCATGGCAGCCGCAGCGGGGACGCGGGGAGCCGTCCCCACACGGGACAGCAGGGACAGCGCCTGCCCTCCCGCCCTGCTGCCGCGGGGGGACGCACGCCCCGTCACCGTGGCTTCACCGTCACCACGAAACGGGCACTGGGGAGGTGGAAATCCCTCACCTCTGGAGCCACGGGGTCCGTAAATTAGATCAGCGGGGTTGGGAAGTGACCGCTTTTCAGGAATCTTCAACTGGGGCAAGAGTTTGTTCAGCCCATTGCCAAAGGCAAATGGAGAACGTTTGAGCACGGAGAGAGGAGGGGCAAAGGGAAGCCAGGTGTGGAATCCTTTGAACCCATGGCAGAGGTGAGAAAAGGAGGTTTAGATGGGATATTGGGAAGGAATTCCTGGCTGGGAGGGTGGCACAGAGTGACCAAGGCCAGGTTGGACAGTGGGGCTTAGAGCGGCCTGGTCACGGGGTGGAATGAGCTGATCCTTAAAATCCCTTCCAGCCTCAAGCATTCCCTAATTCTCCAGTGATTCAAACAACCCTGGCCAAGCTCTTGGCTTCAGAGGTCCCAAAATACCTCTGAGGATGTGGGATCACGCCTTGGGAAGTGCCTTTTCTCAGCAGGCACCTGAGAACACGCTCGTCGTCACAGGTGTCACCGCTTCCCCGCCGGGACCCCGCGTCTTTTAATACCCAAACGTTTTTGGAAATCTGCCCCAATTTTAAGTAGGGCAGGAAATGTCAGTCGATCTGCAGGAGCTGCAGATCCTTTCTCCAGACAAAGGAGCAGCTTTGCAAAGGCCGATCGTGGCTCCTCCAGGCTGTGTGTGCATCCTGGCTTTGCAGGGCGTTCCCCGGGAGAGGAACCCTGGTGCCAGGCTATCCACAGGCGCCAGCCTGCCCAGAGAGGACGTGGAAGTGTTCAAGGCCAGCCTGGATGGGCCTTGGAGCAGCCTGGCATGCTGTGACATTCTGGGGTAGGATTGGGTTTAGGGTCTGTTCCCATCTAGGTCATTCCGGGATAAATCCTCTCGCTGCTGGATGAGGCTGGAACTCCGGTGGGTTTTTGCATCAGGACACTTGGATTTCCCTTGGATTTGATGCAGGAACCTTTCCCTCCCTTTCCAAAAAATCCTCTCTCCAAATGAGGTACTGATAGAACTTGCCACCCTGGATTTAAAGCATTCCCATCTAAGATCAAATTAATCCTTTCTGGAACATGGTTTTCCTCCTGACATTTCTCCTCCAAACCAGAGAAATCATCCCAGGCTGCTGTTCCGTGGAGCAGCACCAGGCCTGCAATGGAAGCTGCATTTCAAATATTAAAAATAACAATGCAATGTCATTCCAGCTACTCATCCTAACTGGATTTGGAAGGAAAACATCTCTTTCTTTTAGTAAAAAAGCACGTCAATAAAACTCTTAGATTAAAAAAAGAACAGGAGGAAAACAAGCTGAGCTACAGAGACACAACAAGCACCGAGGGCTGAGACCTTGGGAAGGAGCTGGAGCACGGAGTGGGGTTTTGCAGTGAGGTTTAAAATGTCAGCCTGGGCTCCTTGATGCTCTTACATTCCCACCATAAAAATGAAGGGATCTGAGGACCCTCTGCGCCTGGAGCAGCTCCTGCTCTTGCCCTTCGTGGCCCTCTGGTTATTGGCTTCCATGAACCCTCCGTGGATCATCTGGAATCCTTGGATGATCTCACATCTCCTGGATGTGAGCTCTGTGTTCTCCCAGGAAACTCCAGGACACCGGGAGCTGCCCTAAACACACCCCAGCATGTTCCAGGAGCACAGGAAGTGCAGTTCCCAGCAATCCCATCTTTACCAGGGAACGTTGGCACCTCGGCATCGAAACCCTTTCCACTCTCTGCCTTTCCTTTGTGTCCCTGCCACGGCAGCTTCCCCCAGAGAGGCAAGCAGGGCTTGGAGCTGTGTCCCTGCCCAGGGGAAGGAATGAGCTGTCCCTGCCCGGGCAGGGCTCGGAGCTCTCCGTGCGCTCGGTGCCGAGGATGCTCCGCAGCAGGAGCACTGAACGGTGAAGCAGGGCTGGCTGTAATGTGTTATGACACAGATCAGCTGTTGTTTTCCAGTCTCAAAGGAAACCTTGTGGAATCTCATGCCTTTGACTGGATTAAATTAGCTGCAAACGTTGTCCTTTAAACGCAAACTCAAGGCCTCGCGCTGGAAAAAACGAGGATGGCGGAGCCGGCGAAATCTCTTTCAAGCCATTGTTTCTTTGGAGCTGTGGTTTACCTTTGGTTCCCTAACAAAGTAAATTAATAAATGAAGGGGTAGCAGAGTTGTTTCTATAGCAATCCCCATGGAAACATCAAAAATGCCACAAACACTCATCCTCAGCCTCCAGCTCCCAGGAGAGCACAGCTCAGGGTAAAACACAGCCATGGCTCCTGGATTCAGCCCAATTCCTGGTGCCCTTTCCCTTCAGCAGCTTGGATAGCCACAAATCCCAAAAATTCAACTTTCCCCAGCAAACCTAGTGACATTCCTCTGGGAAGTGTCCCTGGGAGGAGCTGGAGCTGCTCATCCCTTCAGTCAGCCACAGGACAGAATAAAGAGGCATTGCTGAGAGACTCGTGGTGGGTTAAACCCTGGGCCTTTCCCTTCTCCCTTGCTTTACAACTTCAGTGAGGTGCTCCCACGCCTCTGATCCTGGCACTGCTGGCTGGGAGGGTGGGCAGGGCCTGGCTGGGACATCCCTGGATCCCCAAGAAGGGCTTGGAGAACCTTGGGACCATGGGAGGTGTCCCACGGCAGGGCTGCGGTGGGAGAGCAGAAGGAGCGGAGCGCGGAGCAGGGGTGGGCTCTGGAGAGCAGCCACATTCCAGGGCCCGGCATCCATCCGGGCTGGATTTGGCTCCGGGTCAGGGCTGACAATTAGGCAGTACAGTTAATATTTTTACAGCTGTTTTATTAATAACACATCCAGAGCGCGCAGCCAGGATTTGTTGGAGACACCTCAGGAAAACGAATGATGTAAATAACAGATGGATGCAGAACAACCTTATAAACAGGCACCGAGATATTCCCATCTTGTTTAGGGAGAGGCTAAATAGACAGATTGGAGATAAACAAGGCAAGGGAGGAGAGAATCCACAGGTAGGTGCCGCTCCGCCCGGAATAGCAGCGGAGGCTGGGAAAAAGAAAAACGAGGCAGGAGTTCCAAAAAGCAAAAGTGTGATAAATGTCAGCCTAACACGCCTCGCTTGGGAACGCACCGTTCTCCCCGGGGAGATGAGCGCCTGCCGGTGCCTTGGGAGAGGCGCTTTCTCCAGGGCAGGAACGCAAACACGAGAGCCTTTCGCAGCCCTGCCGTGCAAACCGGGACGCCGTGGAAGTTCTGGAAGTTATCCCGCCTGCTTCGTGTGGAAGGAAGTTCTGGAAGTTATCCCGCCTGCTTCGTGTGGAAGGAAGTTCTGGAAGTTATCCCGCCTGCTTCGTGTGGAAGGAAGTTCTGGAAGTTATCCCGCCTGCTTCGTGGTGGAAGTTCTGGAAGTTATCCCGCCTGCTTCGTGGTGGAAGTTCTGGAAGTTATCCCGCCTGCTTCGTGCGGAAGTTCTGGAAGTTATCCCACCTGCTTTGTGTGGAAGTTCTGGAAGTTATCCCACCTGCTTTGTGTGGAAGTTCTGGAAGTTATCCCGCCTGCTTCGTGTGGAAGTTCTGGAAGTTATCCCGCCTGCTTCGTGTGGAAGTTCTGGAAGTTATCCCGCCTGCTTCGTGTGGAAGTTCTGGAAGTTATCCCGCCTGCTTCGTGGTGGAAGTTCTGGAAGTTATCCCGCCTGCTTCAGGTGGAAGTTCTGGAAGTTACCCCGCCTGCTTCCTGCCGAGGGGTTCGGAGAGGGAGAGACGAGCAGCAATTAGAGCCTAATTAGCGCCTCTGGTATTTCACCGAGCTGCTCCCGTGTGCTGCCTCATCTCCAGGTGGGATTGCAGGGAAAATTCTCCTTGGAAAAGGTGGTCAGGCACTGGCACGGCTGGAATTCCCTTTCCTGGAGGGATTTAACCTGCCCTGTGCTCGAGGCAGTGATGGTCTGTGCTGTTCCAACCTCAGTTCCTGTGATTCCAAAGGATTCCAGGAGAACGTTCTGGAATGAAACCACATTTTGTACACTCCCAGCTGCAGGCACTTCCCAAACTTCCGGAGCTGGATCCCGGGACAGTCAGGAATTCCGATGGAGGCGCTTCAGGGAGACAAAGCGTGAGGAGCTCAGTTTGCCGAGCTCTACAGTGCAGACGTGTTAACACATAAATTTAACAATTATTATTGTGTTGCCCTTTTCCAGGAAAGGGTAAAGGAGATTTGTAGGAGCACTTAACACATGTAAATCCCCACCTCTTTAAGGCAAAGCAAGGCGCTAAATGGGGCCGTAAATATCCCGAGTATTCTGTCCTTTTGGAAATCCTTCCCCCTCCTCTCGCTGCAATTAAAGCCGGGCCTTATTCTAACACAGCCCTGGGGAAGCAGGAGTTTCAAAACCTCCAAACAGGTGTTTGTGGAGGGAGACAGGAGCTCCGGGATGCTGCTTTCCCAAAAAAAAAAAATGGGATCAGCGCTTTATCCTCGTGCAAGAGCTGAAATTCACCTGCGGCTTCTCTTTCTTCTTCCCCAGGCTTGGGCAGCCAGGGTGGCAATGCCAGGCTCCAGGGCCACCAGAGCAGAGTCTGGGCACCAGCTCCTGCCAATTCCCAGGGTTGGCAGCCCAGCCTGTCCTCCACAGCTGCTCCCTGAGGAGCCCAGGACTGTTCCTGGATGGAGATCCTGAGGATCCCAGCAGGTTTCCAGGCTGGAGATACTGAGAATCCCAGCAGGTTTCCAGGCTGGAGATCCTGAGAATCCCAGCAGGTTTCCAGGCTGCAGATCCTGAGAATCCCAGCACCTTTTCCATGGAGATCCTGGGAATCTCAGCATCTTTCCAGGCTGGAGTTCCTGAGAATCCCAGCTCCTTTCCCTGCTGGAGATCCTGAGAATCCCAGCGCCTTTCCAGGCTGGAGATCCTCAGAATCCCAGCAGGTTTCCAGGCTGGAGTTCCTGAGAATCCCAGCACCTTTCCAGGCTGGAGATCCTGAGAATCCCAGCAGGTTTCCAGGCTGGAGATCCTGAGAATCCCAGCGCCTTTCCAGGCTGGAGATCCTGAGAATCCCAGCACCTTTTCCATGGAGAACCTGGGAATCCCAGCAGGTTTCCAGATCCAGAGAATCCCAGCACCTTTTCCCTTGTAGATCCAGATAATCCCAGCACCTTTTCCCTGCAGATCCAGAGAATCCCAGCACCTTTTCCCTTGTGGATCCAGATAATCCCAGCACCTTTTCCCTGCAGACCCTGAGCATCCGGTGGGTTTCAGCCCCGCTGCCAAGGTGTCATTTCCATGTTGTGGTTTCTTACAAAGCACATTCCTCAGTGCCAGCCCCCAGCTTCCTGCCTGGCCTCTCCTTTTAGGATTCCTGTCAGAGCCCGGCGGCGCTGCGCTCGTACCAGGACGACGGGGACGGAAAAATGAAAATCACATTTGGCGCATTTAATCAGATAATTATTTTTAAGGAACTAGCAAGAATGTTAAATACATTTGCCCTTTTTTTTTTTATTTTTTTTTCCATCTGTTGAGGCTGACGTGCAAGACTGGGTCTCTAAGAGCGAGGCGCATCTCCTGGTTCATATTTCGGGATCGCTGAGGTGCGGGACATCTGGCTGCCACGTGTGCCTCGCTGCTCACACCTGTAAAGGCAGGAAAGGGGATGGGCCGGGGGCTGCTCCAGCTCTGGAATGCTCCTGCCCGGTGCAGGGTGTCAGGAAGCAGGGCTGCAGTGCTTTGTGTGCATGCAGCTCCTCTTGGGGCATCCCAGGAGAGGCTTTGTCACCGGTTTGCCACCCAGGAGAGGTCACCCAGCAGGGAGCAGAGCCACCCGGCCAGGTCACACCCAGAGAGGGAAGCAGAATCCCCGGGAGCAGGAGAAGCAGTTCTGATGTTCCTAAAGTGAGGTTTCCAGGGGTTTGTGTTCTCCTGGACACCACAGCTCCCTCTCCAGCTGGGAATGGCAGCACGGAGGTTTGCTGTCGCTCTGAATGGATCTGTTTGTTTAGGAAAAGCATTCCAGGAAAATCTGTCCCTTTGTTCTTTGCTCCTTTCTCCTGTGTCCACGTGGATAGTTCATAAGAGCTTTTCTCCTTCCACAGGAGGATCCCTCATTCCCAGGAAACTCCCGAGACAGGAGTTCTGAGGTGGGAAGTTGAGGATTCCTAAGATCAACGGAGCAGGCCTGGAATCCCCCAGGGACTGAGGAAACACCAAGGTAAGCTGCTGAAAAAGCTGCTTTCCTCCAAGTTGGGAAGTTTGCTTTTCCCCCAGCCAGAGGAACCGCTCCAACCCCCTGGACGTGGAAGAGGGAACATCTCCTGTTGAATTTTACCGTTGCTATAGCGATTGATTAAATAAAATAAACCCCCCCCCCCCACTTGTAAATTCCAAATCCTAATTGTACTGACAACAATCTAAATGTGGTTGGAACAGTGAGTCACACTCCAGATTCCCGTGTCTCGAGCAGGGCTTCATTTCCATCTAACAAGGCAATTACTGTACCCGCGTTAATTCCGTATCATTTGATTAACAAAAACGTGCTGGGGAGCTTTAGCACCTCTGCTTATTGCAGCAGATCCCTATCTCCAGCCCTGCCCCCGGTGCTGCTGCTGCTCATTAGCATACAATATGCAGATGTGGCCGTCCCAAAGCTCTGGTGCATCCCAAACCCGGCACGGTGTCACCAGCCCCTGCTTTCCTGCCAGGACAAACTCAGATCCTAAATCATAAAGAAAAGATTTCCCTTAAAGCTGAGGCCTTGTTTTAGTCGTTTTCACGTCTCATCCCATAAAAGCTTCTGTTTCTCACTACTCCTGGAAGCTGCCAAGGAATTCGGGGCCACTTCCAGCAGTTAGGTCAATCCCCAGAGTCCCCATCATGAGCTGTGAGTGACTCAGCCCCAGCTTTGGCCAGGGCAGCAGGAATTTTTCCCACCTGGCTCTGCTCCTTCCTCCAGGACAGATCCCAGAGGATCCCAAGGAGCAGCTGCAGCCACCCAAAGCCCTGAACCTCATCCCCAAAAACCATTTCTTTATCACCCAGGAGGAGATGAGGAGACCATTCCAGAATACGAGGCCTTTCCTCCCAAAAACTCTTCAGGGATGGCAAACAGAACTTTGGGTTTCCCCGTTTCTTTCCAGATCCTGGAACTGATCCGGAGTCATTCTGGGTGGATATTTAACTACAGACAAATGGCATTTCCTTTTCAATCCCTATTCCCAAGCCTGTGGACAAAAAGAATTGAGCACCAAATCCCTCGGAGGGCCGGACTTTGGGATTTGCCACTGGGAAAAGGGAAAAGCAGCCGGAGCTGGGAGCGCTCTGCAGCCCCATGAATATAGATTACATTTTTTGCCGTGGCAAATAAACAAATGCATAAAGATGCATTATTTCATAAGCATAAAAAAAAAAAATCCTGCTGCAGCTATAGTGCTTTTCATTTGTTTTTATGATTACTTGTAATTAATTAGCATCAAAAGAAGATTATCAACCCCGAGATTGGAGCGGCAAAACGCGGCGATGATGGCGCTGCTTTATCTTTCTATTAAGGTGGGGAAAAAAAAGGAAATGATCCTTTTTTATTTCATTTTTTAACTCTGCCGAGAACCCGGTGACAGCACGTCCTCAAAAAGCACCAAAATGCACAAAAAGAGAAATAATCTTCTCTAATTACAAGCCGTGCTGAGACCGGGCACGTAAATATTTAAGGCAGTTGAAATTGTTTTTAAAGTTAGGTTTCCAAAAGCCTTTTTCCAATCCGTGTTTACATTTTATCCAGCGCTTTATGAGGTCTCTGCTCCTGCACTGAGAGCCATAAACCAGAGGTTTTTTGAGGGCATCTGGAGACTTTCAGCAGGTTCTCACTGCCTGTGCTCTGGGCACCACAAGAAATCCCCCAAAAAAGGGATTTCCTCACCTTCATCCACTTCTCCTGCCGTGCCTGCTGTCGGATTTTACACGAGGGGAAAAAAATAAACGCAAAGCACGGGTATGTTCCAGATCCTGGAGGAGCCCAAAGCTCTGCTGCCCTCCCAGCAATCCCCAGGATTTCAGGAGTTTCCAGCAGAAGCCCCTTGGTGTTCCACACACAGAAATCCTCTCGGGAACTCTGATCCATCTCCCTCTCTCCTCATCCAGCTCAGAAACCGCCAAACCTCTTCCCAAACACCCGTTTATTCCCGGGAAACGCCAAATCCAAACGCTGCCTTATTTGAATGGATGATTAATTCATGAAGGGCCGTGGTTTTTGTCCCAAATTGACGGGCACGGGGCTGCTCCCATCCTCCTATGAAATATTAACGCAGCGCTCGGGCTCAGCACCGCTCCGCAGCCATTAGCGCTCATTTGCATATTCATGAGGGCTCATAAATGTTAGAGGAGCCGGCAGCAGCAGCCGGGCGGAGCCAAGGAGTATTTACAGCCCTAAAAGGGGCTGGCTTGGTGGGACAAACCGGATCCCGGGAATTCCAGCGTGCCGTGCTTTGGGAGATGAGTGAAACCTGGGAAACTGAGGCAGCACCGAGCTGATGAAAGTCCCAGCTAGCAGGAGAAATGCTCGTGATTTACCTCGCTCCTATCGATAATTAACTGCTAAATGAGTGTTATTAAATAACATTTTCCCGTCCGTTAAGCGTAGCCAAAGCAGGACAGCGATTCATTGGCAAGACAATAAAAGTTCCTTTTTCTGCTTACTGGATGTTTTCCCCTCTGCAGAGCATAAATCACATTTTGTGTGAAGCGTGCAATCCTTGCTCTGCCACTTATTTGAATCTCTGGTACTTTATAATAAATGCTTTTTATTGATTTTTATTGTGCAGAGCCGGGAATTGAATAACTCCGGGAGCGGGCTGAAGGAGAAAACGGGATCAGCAGCTTTCCAAGGTAAAGGTGGCACTTGCCTGGCTCAGCAGCTCCAGGAGCAGCACCACAGCACAAACCTGATGGCTCAGTGGCTCTTAAAGTCCCAGAGCTGGGCTGGCTCTGGGCAAGGCCGAGAGGGGCTGGAGGGTTGGTGGTGAGCTGCCTTGGGAGGCTCAAATGGGTCCCCATTTCCCTTCAAACCAAAGGGTGGAGCCGTGTTTGCCTTCCCACAGGGCCATTTCTGCTGGAAGGGTTTCAGGGTTACCTGCCCTGGCTCCATCTTTGGAAGGGAGAAGGTTTTGGGGTCTCTGGGCCAGGTGCTTTGCTCCTGGAAGCCCCTGGAAAAGCAGGATTGCAGAGCCCTGCGATGGAAACTCCTCTCCGTGCAGGGGGACGGGCACTGCGCACGCCCCTCCGATGTCCCCTGTCCCTGGGGGTGACCCCAGCCCCTCGGGCTGAGCTGATCTCTCTGAGACCTGCAAATAAAGTCCAGCAGGAAGGAGCAGGCTCAGCCTGGCTCGTCCTCACAAAGCTGGGATTTCTGCAGGAGCCCCCGGCACGGCAGAGCTTCACACCCGAAAATCACCCGGCAAAGGCCGCGTTGTTTCCCCGCTGGGTTCCTTGGAAATGTGTTCCTACTCCAGGTAATGCGGTGCTCATTACACAATTACCTCAAGTGCTTCACAATGCATTAATTGCTGCTTGATTTAAACATTCCCCATCCAGGAGCAGCCCACCTCTGTCATTGTGACAAATTGCGAGTCGGTGGTCGGGTTCCTCCAGGAGGGAATGGAGAAGCTGCAGGTTCCTCGGTCAGGGGAAGCAGACCCGGCATCACTTGTGGGATGCAGGTCCCTGGGGGAAGCACGAGGCATTTACTGATCCTTTTGGCACTCAAAGTGCCAATCACGGGCTCACGGGATCATTTAGGCTGAAAAAGACCTCCGAGGTCCTCGTCCAGCTCAGGGCATTCTGTCATTCCACGACTTTATGGTATTATTTCAGCCTTATTTACAAAATATTCCTTAAACCCCGGGCCTCGTCAAGGACTCGGTCCTGGCCACCACCTCCATGACTCTGTTCCCAAATTGTCAGGAGGGACAGGGACATCCAAAGCACCTCCAGGTAGGCAGCTGCTCCCCACTCTCACCCTGTGCAGTGACACGTGGAACTGGCAGCCCAGGACAGGCTGGCGGCTTTGTGACACGGGCACAGCCCCGAGAGCTGTCCCCTGTGAGACCCAGCTGCATCCAAAAGAGAACTCCTGGAGAGAACTTCCCCATCAGCCTGCAGCCCTTCTCTCCTGGCATTCCATCCCCTTCCAGCCCTGGCACTGGGGTGGTCCCTGCCACGTCGCCGTGCCACAGCTCCCAGACGGAATCGTGGCCATTTCGAGGTCGCGGGGAATTTTCAATTCAGTGGGGAGAGGATTTTGCCCGAGGTGCCTGCAGATGTTCCGAGAGATGCCCCAAGGCCCTGTGGATCACCAGGAGAGGCTCCACTCCCTCCAGCAGCTTTTCCTTCTGCCTCGCTGCCCGCGGAGCCATCCCAAGGAATCCTGGAGATTTTCCCCAACATTTTCTTGCAATAGAGAATTGCAGGCAGAAGAAAGTTCCAGGGGTGCTCCTTCCTCAATGAGAGCTTCATCCTCCCTCCAGGGAGGAGAAACCTGTTTGGAACGCCGCCGCTCTCCCCGAGACGAGAACCAACAGGTTTAAAAATAATTCCCAGGACTGGCGTTGCCGGCACACGCGGCTGAAACGGCTCCGATGTGACGGGGCCTTAAATTACCGGGCTTTGACGAGCCTGCTGCACACGCACGGAAGCTGTCACCGGGAATTCTCCCCATCCAGACTTTATATAATAGGGGAGGTATTAATCAGGAGTGGAGGTCTGCAAATATTTGCCTGTTTCCATAGCGATGGGGAGCCCACACACACAATAAATACCTTTTCCCACATGCGTTATCATCGCTGCCTAATCATATAATCACCAAGCCGTGGCTCAGGCGGGGCCGGGAGGAGAATAAACACCATTAATTAACAGATTTATAAACTAGAGGAGGAGGAGGAGGTGGCAAACGAGGAACGGAGTGGAGAAAGCGCTTTGGAGCAGGTTTGGGCCTTTCTCGTTTCTCCGGGAAACTTCGCAAACTCTTAATTAGCTCACCAAATCCTCTCTGTCTTCTTCCAAAAATAAAACTTCTGACAACTGTTCAAACCACGCCGCGCTCTCACCCACCAAACACACATTTGAGTACAAATAGAAAGCCACGGCGGGGAAGTGTCAGAGGCATTGCTTCGAAGGAGGAAAAGTGAGACTCTTGGCATCGCTCGCGAAATCCGACGCGTTGTCTCCGCAGCGGGCTGCGTTTTGTCTGCGGCTGCGGGAGCGCGCCGGTGACACGGGAGCGCGCCGCTGACACGGGAGTGACACCGGGCCAGCCAGCGCCTTGGGAGGGTGCCCCGCTCACTGATCCCTCCTGGCAGCTCCCAACACCTTTGTCCGGGCTGGCACGTACCGGGAATGCAGCGCCCAGACCCAAAGGGATTTTTGGGGTTGGGTCTGGGCTTCGTCGTTCCTCATTCCGTCCTAAAGCAAAGTGGAATTTTGGAAGTAAAAGTAGCAAAGTCGGAAGAGTTCCTTTGGTTTCCGTGGGCCCAGAGGATTGAGCCGTGAGTTTCCAGGGATCGAAGTAGCTCTGGCTGCTCCTGCTGCTTGAGAGGAGCCATCCCATGGAATGGTTTATTCCACGTCCACTGGATCACGGAATAAACCATTCCGTGGTCTGTGCTGGAGCTGCCCAAAGCAAGGCAGGACCACCTTCCACTGGCCCATGGTGCTCCAAGCCGTGTCCAGCCTGGCCTGGGACTCTCAGGGTGGGAATGCACCTGGCTCGCAGGGTTTGTCATTCCACTGAGAATCCCGTGATTTGGGGGCTGCTGCAGTGCCAGGGCGGGCACCCCGAGGCCGGCCCTCTCCAGGGCAGATTTGGGGTGAACCGCGGTGTCCCCGGCCCCGGTGGCGCGCCCGTGCTGGTTGCGGAACCGGGCTGGGCCACGCCCGTCCCCGCTGACGTCTGAGTAATGTGCATTTCCCCGGCATGACAAGCTCATTATGGAGCATAATTGCGACGCAATCTCCTGGTAAACACTGGGTTAAACCCCCTGGAAGATGCTTGTTCCTCTCGTTATTAATTAGCACGTGTCCACTCCGCCAGATCCAGAGCCCAAACTTCATTTGTTATGTTCAGCCAAATGCATGAGTAGCTTTGGAGTAATTATTTTCCAACATCATCTAATACCTCTCTGCACATCAATTAAAAATCCTCTTAACAAGGAACTGCATTTTGTTTGAGATCAAATGCCTCGTCCAAAGCTGTATCAATCATGTAGAGCTAATTAGTGGGTCTGCTTTATATCATTTGTTTTACTTTATTATTCTATTATACACTTCCTAATGAAACCAATTGAACAATTTTGAAATCTTTGTTCAATTAATTGAAGGCTTAAAGGCCAGCTCCCTTTTCGGTTGGCTTTAAAAAGCACGGATGCAAAGGGAAATAAGATTCCCTGCGTGTTTTATATCTATTTCTTCTCCGGGGTAAATGTTCCACAACTGCTTTTAGGGTTTTAGCACTATTTCTGTGTCCATGGTTCTGGAGGATTGTCCAAGGAAGGCTCTCCCAGCCCTGCTCACTCCATGGCTCTGGAGCATTGTCCAAGGAAGGCTCTCCCAGCCCTGCTCACTCCATGGCTCTGGAGCATTGTCCAAGGAGGGCTCTCCCAGCCCTGCTCACTCCATGGCTCTGGAGGATTGTCCAAGGAAGGCTCTCCCAGCCCTGCTCACTCCATGGCTCTGGAGCAGCATTGTCCAAGGAAGGCTCTCCCAGCCCTGCTCACTCCATGGCTCTCCAGGATTGTCCAAGGAAGGCTCTCCCAGCACTGCTCACTCCATGGTTGAGCCTCCACTCCATGGAGGATTGTCCAAGGAAGGCTCTCCTTGGAGAGAAGTGTGTGCATCCAAGAAGGCTGATGGCACCGGGATCGTGTCACTCACTGTGACAGCAGGAGCAGGGCAGAGCCAAACCTCCAATCCTGGGCTCCTCATGAGAGGGAAGGGAACAGAGCTGGGAAGGGGCTGGAGAACTCCTGAGGGGGCTGAAAGGGGCTCAGCCTGCAGGAAAGGAAGCTCAAGGGGGACCTTGTGTCTCTGCACAAATCCTGACAGGAGGGGACAGGGAACAGCCTCAGGGTGGGCTAGAGGAGGTCACGCTGGACACCAGCAGGAATTTCCCCTTGGAGAGGGTGCTCAGGAACTGGAGCTGCCCAGGGAGGTGTGGAGCCCCTGCTCTGAGGTCCCCAGCATTCCTGGGACACCTCAGGCACAGCTCCATCAGCGCCCCGGCGCTGGCACTGCTGCTGCAGAGGAGCAGGAGCTCTGTGCAGCCTGAGCAACCCCTCTGCAGCCACCGTGAACGCTTCGCAGCTAAATCAAACTGACAAATCAGCAGATGCTGAGGGGCTTGCAGCAAATGGACTGTGTTTCCTTTTTCATATGGAGAAGGAGGGTAAAAATAAGAATGACTTTCACATGCCGTCAAGATTGCTTGGGAGAAATCAAGGGATATTATAGAAGCATTGGAGCAGAGGGAATTCAGATTTAGACCTCTCGAAATCTGGGGGTCGAGCTGAGTTCCTACTTGTCAGTAACATAAAAATCTATTCCTCAGTTGGTCACCAGCCACGTTTAAAGGCACAGCTCTGTCAGAAGGGCCAGCAGGAGCCACCTGTGTGTCCCTCTGGGCGCACGGGGATCGGCGTGGGCTCTCCACCCCCACCACACCAACCGGGATCACCTCCAAGCTTTGCAGCTCCCAGAGAAAGACCGCCAGCAGTTCTGGGCTCCCCGGGAGCAATCAGAGCTCTTAGCTGCATGTTTATTGTGCACACAGGTCCCCAGCTGCTCCAGATGTGCTGGAACTGCAGCCGAGCTCATCCCGAGAGCGCCGCTGGACGCAGCCCTGGACACGGGTGGTCCCGGCCCCGCAGAGCCTTTGATGTGCACGCCCAGGTAGGAAGGGCTCGCTTCGGGACATTTGGGAGCTATTAGGGTTCCTCACTCACACACGGAGCATCCTTTTCGGATTATCCCCGCTTCCTGTTTGGAGAGTTGCGGCCAGCCAGAGCAGCTCCAGCTAGGAAACAAAAGCAGACACGCACTCAAAGCCCGGGGCCCCTCGGTGTCAGAGCAGAGCTGAGCCCCTCCGGGGCCTCAGTCACTTCCGAGCTCGAGAAAAAACCCAGGGAAAAATCCCGAGGTTGGGGCAGTGCGCAGGGAATTCAAAAAGGAGAGGAAAAGTCGCTGCGGCACCCCCAGTGACCTGGGCCGGAGCTCACCTCTGTCCTGAGGGTGTCACTCAGCCCTCGCCTCACTGAATCCCTGTTTCCAGTCTTAAAACAGGGCTTAAGTAGGCCAGGAGTGCCGGCGGCCCTGCGCTGCCACGCGGGGATGCTTTCAGCTCGGACGAGCACCGGACAAAGGCAGGGAGGGGTCCCCCGGCACTGCTGCTCCACGCAGCCTGGGACCCTCTCCTTCCCCTCAGCCATCTGGAAATTCATTTGGAGCAAAGTGTAAAGGCAGAACATTTTTTGTGATCTAATCCTGTAGGTCCCATTATTTAATTTATTGATACAAAGCAGGGAACGCGGAGACAGATGCGGGAGAGAGCTCGAGAGGCAGCGAGGACATTGTTCAGCTCTGCTCCTCTCAAGAGCCAATTATTCCCTTCAAGTCCTTTAGTTTCAGGGGCTGCTGCAGTAGTTGCAGGGATAAAAGTGGGAGCCTTTCATCTGGAGCATTCAAGTGCCAGTCCTCCAGGCAGACCAAAGCCACATGGAGTGGGCTGGCTTCTTTTCCTCCTTAATGCATTATTCTGGAATGGGATTATTAAACATTACTGAATGGAGAATGTAAATTTGCAGCATTGACAGCTGATTAATTTGTTGGGTTTTTTTTAAACAAGAAAAAAAAAATTCACTCATCATCAAAAATAGAAATTAAACCTTTTAAGGGAACCTCCAAGGAAAAACACAATGATTGCTGTTTTCCCTGACTCTAGGGCTGGCTCCAGTCTGTAATTCTGCATTAAGGGGGAATTTCCTTTCAGCTACCAAATAAAATCCAGATTTATTCCATGAAATCAGGAAGTTGGAGGTGTGTGTCCCATGGATCCCTCACAGCAGGTGCCATGGAGCTCCTGAACATCTGGAATCGCCCAATTCCCTGGCTGTGTACAGGAAACCTGGAAAGGGATTCTCTGGCACATCCATACCATCCATGCCTGCCCAAATCCATCTGTACCCATCCATGCCCATACCCGTACCTGTCCATACCCATCCACACCCATCCATGTCCATCCATGTCCATCCATGTCCATCCACACCCATCCATGTCCATCCATACCCATCCATGTCCATCCATACCCATCCACACCCATCCATGTCCATCCACACCCATCCCCATATCCATCCCCATATCCATCCCCATATCCATACCCATATCCATACCCATTTCCATACCCATATCCATACCCATCCATCCCCACATCCATCCCCATATCCATCCCCATCCATCCCCATTTCCATACCCATTCTGTCCATACCCATGGAGCACTGCTGGCAGCCACCCCTGTCCCTGGGACAGCAGCACCGGCACTGCTGGGCCTGCCCGGGACACGGCAGGAATCCCCCTCTGGGCACCTCGGGATGGCTGTTCCTTGGTATTGATTATTATTGGTGTTATTGGTTTTATTATTATTATTGCCCTGGCGCCGCAGCCCAGCCGCTGGTAATGAGGCAAAGGAGGGTTTAACCGGTTCATGGATTTGGGATGGATTTAGGTCACAGAGCCACAGGATCCCGGGATGGTTTCAGCTGGAGGGGGCTTTGAGGAGTGTCTCATTCCTGCCATCCGTGGAGGGACACCTTTCACTAGCCCAGGCTGCTGCTCACAGGCAGCACACAGGGAAATACAGCATCCCCTAAAAATGATCCAGCTCTGGAGAAAAGGGGGATCCTGCAGCACCTTCCAGCTCTTTGTGTGGACTTGGGAATGCCAGGGATTAGGGGCTTTAGCTGTAAGCCCAGCTCAGGCTGCTCTGCAGCACTTCAAACTCCTAATTTCCCAAAATCTCCGTATTACCCGGTCAAGATCTTTGAGCAACCAACAGATTTCCCCAGACTGTTAATCCCACGTTTCATCCTTTCCTGGGCTTTTTTTAGAGGCTGAGAAATGTAATCCTAATTTAATCCTGACTGGAAGCCTGCGAGGGAGGGCTGCAGTGGGAAGTTCTCCTCGGGGTCAGCAGGAAAGGGTTTCCCAGAAATTCCCTTTGCGTTCCCCACGTCAGGGCAGTGACCCCACAGCCCTGCTGGGTGGGTGGGGCAGAAAGGGAATTTCAGGGACACTGGTGGACATTCCCCCCGTGGCATTCATTCCTTGTGGGGGGAAGCTGGAAGGTGAGGGGGAAACTTGGATATCTCCACCAAGAACAGCCTCAAGTCATTTAATCACCATCTGCCTTGGTGCCAAAGTAAATATCCTCAGCTCTCTGAGGCCTTGACATACTCAGAATATCCATCCCCATATCCATCCCCATATCCATCCCCATATCCATCCCCATATCCATCCCCATATCCATCCCCATATCCATCCCCATCCATACCCATATCCATCCCCATCCATACCCCTATCCATCCCCATACATCCCCATATCCATCCCCATATCCATCCCCATATCCATACCCATATCCATCCCCATATCCATCCCCATTTCCATACCCATCCATCCCCATATCCATCCCCATATCCATCCCCATCCATACCCATATCCATCCCCATCCATACCCCTATCCATCCCCATATCCATCCCCATCCATCCCCATATCCATCCCCATATCCATACCCATATCCATCCCCATATCCATCCCCATTTCCATACCCATCCATCCCCATATCCATCCCCATATCCATCCCCATCCATACCCATATCCATCCCCATCCATACCCCTATCCATCCCCATATCCATCCCCATCCATCCCCATATCCATCCCCACATCCATCCCCATATCCATACCCATCCATCCCCATTTCCATACCCATTCTGTCCATACCCATCCAGCACTGCTGGCACCACCCCTGTCCCTGGGACAGCAGCACCGGCACTGCTGGGCCTGCCCGGGACACGGCAGGAATCCCCCTCTGGGCACCTCGGGATGGCTGTTCCTTGGTATTGATTATTATTGGTGTTATTGGTTTTATTATTATTATTGCCCTGGCGCCGCAGCCCAGCCGCTGGTAATGAGGCGGGATGGCTGTTCCTTGGTATTGATTATTATTGGTGTTATTGGTTTTATTATTATTATTGCCCTGGCACCGCAGCCCAGCTGCTAAAGGAGGGTTTAACCGGTTCATGGATTTGGGATGGATTTAGGTCACAGAGCCACAGGATCCCGGGATGGTTTCAGCTGGAGGGGGCTTTGAGGAGTGTCTCATTCCTGCCATCCGTGGAGGGACACCTTTCACTAGCCCAGGCTGCTGCTCACAGGCAGCACACAGGGAAATACAGCATCCCCTAAAAATGATCCAGCTCTGGAGAAAAGGGGGATCCTGCAGCACCTTCCAGCTCTTTGTGTGGACTTGGGAATGCCAGGGATTAGGGGCTTTAGCTGTAAGCCCAGCTCAGGCTGCTCTGCAGCACTTCAAACTCCTAATTTCCCAAAATCTCCGTATTACCCGGTCAAGATCTTTGAGCAACCAACAGATTTCCCCAGACTGTTAATCCCACGTTTCATCCTTTCCTGGGCTTTTTTTAGAGGCTGAGAAATGTAATCCTAATTTAATCCTGACTGGAAGCCTGCGAGGGAGGGCTGCAGTGGGAAGTTCTCCTCGGGGTCAGCAGGAAAGGGTTTCCCAGAAATTCCCTTTGCGTTCCCCACGTCAGGGCAGTGACCCCACAGCCCTGCTGGGTGGGTGGGGCAGAAAGGGAATTTCAGGGACACTGGTGGACATTCCCCCCGTGGCATTCATTCCTTGTGGGGGGAAGCTGGAAGGTGAGGGGGAAACTTGGATATCTCCACCAAGAACAGCCTCAAGTCATTTAATCACCATCTGCCTTGGTGCCAAAGTAAATATCCTCAGCTCTCTGAGGCCTTGACATACTCAGAATATTCCAAGAACTTTCATTCTGCTTGTCCCCATCCAGAAGAGCTCATCTCTTTTTTTTTGGTGGGAAAACCACATGGAGATTGAGAACACAGAAGAAATCAGGAGCTGGACTCTGCTGATCCCTGTGGGTCCTTTCCAGCTCAGGAAATTCTGTGTTTCTGTGATCCTCCTTCACTCACGGAGGTTCCAAATTCTGGATTGGAGCAGGATCCATGCACATTCCATCCCCTGTGCTTCCTCCCTCCCCGAGCCCTCCCAGCTGCTGGGATAATTCACTGCTGGGGCACCAGGCAGTTCCGAGGGAAAAGCAGCTTTCCCTCCCCGTCCTTACTCGCGCTGCGCCTTAGGAGTTCGGTTAAGCTCAGGTTTAGGCAGTTCTGGGTTTGGGAAAGAGGAAATGTGCCATCCCAAAGAGCAAGTGGAGAGGAGAAGCCGGAGGTCTCGGCCTCCAACCCAGTTCCAGGAGCGAGGATTTAGGGATTAGTGGGATGGATCACCTCGCTTCCCCCAAGATTCAGCAGGCTGTGATTTGTGCCTGCTAAGCCGCTATAATGATGAACAATCCTTTTTATTAACGGGCCTAAAAATAGCAGCTGCAGCCAGCCCCTGGGAGGCACACACACAGCTCCGGGGCAGGAGCTTCCCCTGGGGGCATACCGGGGGGGTTTGGGGGGCTGTGCCACTGGGCACACAAACATTCCTGCAGGACACCCGCGTCCCCACGTGGGGGTTTCACCCTCAGCTGCCCCCTCTCGGTGTAACCGTGAGCACTCACGCGCTGAGTTTAGGGGCACACGAGGCAGCCTGGGATGGGGTGGGATGGGATGGGATGGGCACTCTGCCAGTGTCCAGAACTTGGGAAAGCCCTTTCCTGAGATCCAGATCTCTGTCAAGAACCTGACATACCCAATCAGCATCTTCAAAACTCTCCCATATGTGTCAAATAAAAATGTCCTTTCTGGTCCCCAGCTGCCAGAGAGGGGATGTCCTAGGGAAAAAACAGCGTTAAGAAAACTCAGGTTGGGATTGTAAGGCTTTGGCATCTCAGTGCTTGGGGATCTGAGGCATTGAGCTGATGCTTCAGTTTGTACAGATTCTGGCTCGCGGGATGGGATGGGATGGGATGGATGGGATGGGATGGGATGGATGGGATGGGGTGGGATGGGATGGGATGGGATGGGATGGGATCCCCACTGTCTGTAGGCAGCTCTGATTCCTTGGAACACCTGAGCATCTCCTGGAAGCCCTCTGGCATTCCAGCTGCGCCTTCAGGAATCATCCCGAAAATAACGCAGCGAGAGAATCCCGTTCCTCCTAAGGGAAACCTGGCAGAGATTAACAGTGGGGAGAGCTCCCAACTCCCAGGGAATCCTTCCCCAGTGAGCTCTGGGTGCCTGAGCCAGCTCCAAGTGCTTCAAGCCCCCCTCTTCCCCAAGTCTCTGCTGCTCTCTGTAACTCCCAGGACCGAATTAGCGGCGCAATCATGAGAAAAGGAATCGGAGCCTTCTCCAAGCTGTCAAGTGCATTTTGCTGGATGATTAATTGGCAGAGCTCCGGCCAAGCCCTGGGTCCTGCTAAAGGCCATGCCCTTGACTTGCACCTGCCACTGATTGCAGAAAATGGATGTCTTCACTTCTCCCTTTTTTTTTTTCCCTCCCAGTTTTTTGGGGTTTTTTTTTTTTTTTTTGGTGCAGCTGTTAAACTGCTTTAAGGAAATCTTATTTCTCTAGACCAGAAACTTGAACTTCTTCTCTAATCTCAGGAGGCTGAAATGAATGTAATTCTCTGCCTCAGCCTGACTTATGGAAGCAATATTTTAGGGTCTTTAGGAAAGATGCGATAACTGGACGTGATTTTTGTTCCTTTTCTAGGAGCTGGGATGTCCCTGTGCTCCGTGGCCTCCACGAGGTGCTGGAGTGGGATCCGCGAGGGGTGAGTGCAGCACAACGGGGGAAACCCCAAACAAATTGTGATTTTGCCTGTTGGATCCGGTGAAGGAGTGAAGGAAAAGAAGTTTTTACCCTTGGTGTTGAATTTTGTGGCAAAAGGGGTAAATCCAGTAATTCCGGGTTATTTGGCGTCACAGGGATTCAGTGATGGGGACAAACCTGGGAGGAAAAGCCCTCAGAGCTCCTCGGGGAGTGATTCCCAAAGAATCCTGGCAGGAATGGTCTGGACTTGCTCCGAGGTGAGCCGGGAGTTCCTCCTGGGAGTAAGGAGAGAACAAACCCTGCCAATCCTTTAAAAGCCGATTTGCACACGCCTTGAACCGGGAAAGCAACATCTGCTCGGCTCAATCCAGGTGTTTTATGTCCCTGTCATTAATTGGAGGGGACATTATGTCATCATACATCAACGGGGAAAGTTGGTTAAAGTGCCACTTACCTCCGGGGCTGCCGTTAATCAGCTCCCTTTCAGCGGGAGCAGTGACACCTTGGAATGTTTTCCTTCTCCTTTCCAGGTGCTCTGGAATGAGCAGCGTGGAAATCTCCCACACACACACACACGGTGGTCACTGAGGGGTTTGAATTGGGAGGGATTTTAAGGATCATCTCTGCCAGGGTGGGGACACCTGGCCTGGAATGCTCCTGGGACACCTCGGCAGCCGTGGCCCGTCCCATCCCATCCCTCCCTCCCTGGGAAAACTGATGGAGAGTTGTCACTCCAACAAATTGAGTGTGACAGAAAAAAAAAAAAAAAAAAAAAGAAAAAAAAACTTAAGTCTTGACTGGATTTGCTTCCTGGGAATGACACGAAGTCAAGTATCTTATTAAGTTCAAGAGAATTACATTTTCCATGCTCCAGCGAGAGACGCGGGCCCTTTGGAAAATCATAATGAACGGCTTTCTGCCGCCCTCATTTACATACCTTTGATAAATGGCTGTAACCAGATTAGGGAGATAAAATAACCAGTCTATTAATTACAATGATTATTATTTAATAGAAAATGGGATTGTGGCTGGCAAGAGGGAGGCTCAGCAATGCATTATATGGATGTGGTGGTTTATCTTTGGGAGTAAGATAAGTGTCCGGCTCTTCTGCAGCCCAAAGAATATGTTCATTACCTGGGCAAGATTTATAAGTATAATTGAGTGTAATATTTGAAAACTCTTTGCCTTATTTGGTGGACAAGGCAGGGCTGCTGCTTTAATTAAGCTGGCTAAATGAAGTTATCGAGCAGGGGTTCATTTGTAGGGAAATGACTGCGTTATTTGCAAAGTTTGGGAGCTGGAGCAACCCCGGTGCTGCCCCAGCTGAAGTGGGCTGTTGTTATCTACAGCCTTTTTAGGGCTGTGGAAATCAAAACCTGTGAGGCCACAGGGCCCAGGGAGTGCTGAGGCCAAACCTCACGTGGATCTGGGCTCCTCAGGACAGGGCAGGGAACGGATGGAGCTGGGATGGGGCTGGGATGGGGCTGGGGCAGCTGAAATGGGGCTGGGGGAGCCAGGAGGAGCCGGACCCCGCCGTGTCCCGCGTCCCTTGTCCCTTGTCCCGGGCTGCCAGTGGCAAAGGGAATGAAAGATAAATGGTGCCATCTGCGCCCGCACATGGCACGGCGGCAGGGGAGGCGAAATGCTAAGTAGAGCACGAGACGTGTCTGGCAGAGTCACCTATGCAGAAAATGAACCTCCCCGCCGTGCCCGGGAGCCGCGGCCATCCCCGGGCCAGCCCCCGGGACCTCCCTGCGCCGTGCCCCGCGTCCCGGAGCTGTTGTCACCTTTCCCGGAGCCGGTGTCGTGTGTCACATCTCCCGCCGGGTGTCCCAGCCGCAGGAAGGGCGAGGTCACGGCTCCTCTCTGGGCTGTCCCCGTGCTAATCAGCATGGCTGTTAATTAACGCTCTGAGCAGTGATGGGAGAGTGGGAGTGCTGGGACATCCACATCTGGTGGCAGCTGGAGCCCGTGTCCCAATGTGGGCACCCCAAGCAGGGGCAGGAGCTGCCCGGATTGCCCCCCGTGCCAAGCCCTGTCAGGAGGATGCTCTGATTCCTTTGAGCCTGGAATAAAATCAGTTTTTACTGCATGTCCTCGTTTCATCCCCCCAGAAATGCACGAGTCCATTTCCCTTCCACGCTCATTCCCGCCTTTGTGGAGGAGCCAGGACAAACTGGAAATCCGTGTGAGGAGCAGCAGGATTTCATAAGGATGGAGCTGATGCGTTTCTGGGTTCTGTCCTGAACCCCTGAGTGTGTACAGCTCCCCAAATTCATCTCACACACAACTTTCGTTCCTTCAGGGAAGGAAATCAGGAGTTGTGGTGGTTAATAATAAACCAGGCAGCACGGCAAGAACAGATTGCAGTGGGAATTACTGTCTTCCCTGAGATGGAGGGGTTGGGCTTGGGGGGGGCTTTTTTGGGTTCATCGCTGTTGTTTTTAGCTGAGAGATCCCAGCTGGGCCTGAGAATTCGTGTGTGTGTGTGTGGGGAGCTATTTTCCTGTCTGTGCATCCGTGGGGATGCTTCCCCTGCCACAGAGGGACACAAAAATCCTGGCAGCAGAGCTCTGTCCCTGCCCTGCTGATGCTCAGGAGAGTTTCCCTTAGGAAACTGGTGCTGGGACAGGCACTGGAGCATCCCAAAAAAAAGCAGGGATAAATTCAGGACCTACCTGTGCTCATGTCACAGGCAGAGACAGAGGCACTCGCAGGGATGTGATGTGAGGACACGCAGGTGCCTGCAGCCAGCTCTGCCTTGGGAATGGCTGGGAAATTCCTGCTGCTGCCCTGAGGAAAACAGCAGGAGCTGCTGGCTTTGGGGACGCCCAGCATCTCCATCCCAGCAGGAAAACAGCAGGAGCTGCTGGCTTTGGGGACGCCCAGCATCTCCATCCCAGCAGGAAAACAGCAGGAGCTGCTGGCTTTGGGGACGCCCAGCATCTCCATCCCAGCTGGAAAACAGCAGGAACTGCTGGGATTGGGGACACCCAGCATCTCCATCCCAGCAGGAAAACAGCAGGAGCTGCTGGCTTTGGGGACAACCAGCATCTCCATCTCCTCAGGAAAACAGCAGGAGCTGCTGGGTTTGGGGACACCCAGCATCTCCATCCCAGCAGGAAAACAGCAGGAACTGCTGGGATTGGGGACACCCAGCATCTCCATCCCAGCAGGAAAAGCAGATCCAAAGCAGGAGATCCCCCTGCTCCTGTGCATCCTCATCATCCTCAGTCCCAGATCTCCTCCTCGGGGATGGATCATGGCTCTGGGGCTGTTCTTCATCTTGGAAAATCCTTCCAAGACCCGAGGTTGAACCTTTCCCAGCGCTCGTGTCCCCAAGTGCCACATCCTCCAGGGATGGGGACTCCGTCCTGCCCGTTCCAGGGGTTTCTCTGTGTGTTCCTCCACTCTGCCTAAAACAGGCAAGGGGAGGAAGGATCATTCCCGTTTCCTTGCTAAAGTGAGGGGGGAAAAAAATGGCAAAACAGGTGCTTTAAAATCTTCCAAGGCTCAAACTAAATGACAAAACGCAGGAGCATTTCATTGTTTGAGTTTGGAATAAAAGACGGATAATTAGGAAATTGGGAGTCTATTAATTTCCCAAATTTACTCAGGCACGAAGCACTGAGCTCTGGTGATATTTGCTTACCTCGTCATTATGCAAAAATATATTAGCTAATTATTTTGACTAATGCAATTAAGATATGCATATTTAGCATAAACTCCACAATAGAAACGTTCCAGTCAGCAGTTGCCGGGTTGCACTCGTGGGCAGCGGAGAGGGAAAAGGCAAACAGGGATCCTGCCACACGAGGTGCCACACAGGCTGTGCCAGCTCTGCCAAATCCCTGCTGGGCACGTTTAGGGCGCTCGGAGACTCTTTGTATGGAATCGTGGGATGCTTCAGGCTGGCTCTGGTGCCAGCAATTCCATCCCGGTGTCCCCTGTGGCAGCGGGAGCCGTTCCCTGTGTGCTGTCCCCAGTCCCCCCCAGCTCTCCTGGATCCCTCTGCCAGGCTGGCTGCAGAGCTCCCAGCAGCATTGTGAGATTCCTGCCTCTTTATTGCGTCTGGGAGCAGCCCCTGTGCCCCTTTTCGTGCCAGGCTGGCACTCCCAGCAGGGCTGGGAATTCTCCTCTGCTCTCCAGGGGTTACGTGAGGAGCGAGAAGGAATCGTGCCTGCATTTCTTTCCCTCTCCCATCATCATCCCATCTCCTTTTGTGTGGTCCAGATGTGACCTCCGGGATGCGGGGCTGGCTCTCCCAGCCCGGCACGGAGCCACATCCCGGCGTGGTGGGCGAGGAAGGAGCAGCAGGGAGGCGAGGAGAGCTGGCAGTGTTCGGGTGGCACCGCTCGCCCAACCCCGGGCTCTGCCCGCCGCTGGCCGCTCTTCCAGAGGAGCCGCTTTGGCGAATTCCTTCCCCAGCCATGTGGGCTGTCAAATGGCTTCTGCTGTATTTTGTTGCCCTTTCAAATATTTCTCCGAGAGTGGGATGTACCATCTGCTGGCCAATCTGGCTGTGTCTGCGGCTCCCAGCGCCGCGCCCATGGGCGCTCGGCAGCCAGCAGAGCCGCCCGGGCACCCAGCTGGCACCAGCCGGCCTGGCACGGAGCCCAGAGCCGCCCTGGCTGAGCGGGGCGCTGCCCTGCCCGGCCTGGGTGATCTCTGCGTGCCACCCCTCCATCCTCCCCAGAGGCAGGATTTAGGATTTATTTCCCAACAACGGCTTTTAAAGATCTTTTTCTCGATTCTTTTTTTATTCCCAGTTCGTGCTGACTCCGCAGCGCTCTCCCCGGCCGGGTTCGAGCGGGAGGATTAGACTTTGCTGACTCCTTTCTAGCCTGCCGCAGCAAGAGCGGGATGGTTTTAGGGAAATCAGTAATTCCCCGGGGATTGCTCTGGGCTTTGTTAGCCCAGAGGATCAGGAGGGGAAAGCAATGCTATCAATGCTGCTCTCCCAACGAAAAGAAATCTCCTTAAGCGTGGCGGATCCCCCGAGGAGCAGCTACACCTGGGAGCAGGCTGTGTGTAACACCCTACGCAGCAGGCACCCAGCCTGGCCCCTTCTCACCCCAAATCTGCTCCTCAGCAGGTTTCACTCTGCTGCATCTGGGCTGAAAATTGCTGATTCCGGGCTTCTGTGAGCCTCCCAAGTTCTCTCTCTCTCTCTCTCACAGCTTGGGTGCGGGAAGAGTTGAAGGGATCAGGTGGGAATTCCTCCCCAGCAGCTCCAAAACTCAAGGCACAAAGAACAGATCTAAGAACTGGCTAGATTTCCATCTTGTCTAGATTTAGAGAAGTTTCGGGCCCTGCTGGTATAAAATTTAAAAAGCAGGGGGTTGGTAAGAGCGAGGTGTGCCCCAGGACAGCCCTGGATTTGCTGCTGGCTGCCCGAGATCCCAGCTGCTGCTCAGGCAGTGATTTTATCTCCCCCTCCCAGCGCTTTCTTTTTATTCCTTATTATTTTACAGACGCTTAACAAGTGCGATGGGAAGAGCTTTGGGGGCAGATTATTCCGGCGGTCGCTGGAATGCAAATCCCATTAGGCTGCGCCGCACATCTGACAGGGATATCTGGCAGCCCATCTCACCCCGCTCCTCCTGAAGGGATCTCTGCTCCCCGGGAAGCTGCGGCGAAAACTTAATCGGGAATTACACCCTCTAAATACCCCGCGGAGGAGAGAG